CAATCTTAATATATTAATGATGCAAAGCTTTCGCGAGATAAAAGGTCGGTTTTAAGAAGTGTCTCTACGAGGCTTCTGCAAATGGGCACTTGAGAGATACTTTTTGAAAAGTCAATTTTTTTTGTGAACCAAACATACAACAGAACCAGAGAAGTGCTTGCATCCGTGGGAAGCCCATTTGAGTCGTTCGCCGAATAGGTCGTAAATCACCTTACATTTTCATTGTTTTCCTTTGTTTAGTGACTTGGGCATTCTTACCAAATTAGGAAGGACAGAGAAGTGATATATGAGACTACAAATAAATCTTTGTCAAACCATCGATGGACACAATTGGGTAACTCTCTCTCTCTAGTTCTTTTGAGGGGTGAATACGAACAGATGATGCAACGAATAATAGTGCATTCTTAATTTGAAATCATCTTTTAATAAATTCTATGACGTGTTTAATAGGCAGAGTATTTTTTGCAAAGAATTTGATTTGCATACATACTGCGAACTTGTGGACCATCTTGTGACACCTGCACCGATGGGAGATTACAACATATTGTCACGGGCTTGCAATTTTCAAGCTCACATGCGACACTAGGGCACTCGCTAGATCCTTAGATGACCAGAAATGACAATCTAGTGAAGGTAAGTGAATCAAATTAAGCACTATCCACAAGGCTACACCAATGGAGTTTTGTATTGCAAAGAGCGGAAGTATACTCCCAATTCTAAAGGCATGTTTCGAAAAAACATACTGGCATGCGCCTTGCTAGCGTCAGGCACCTACAGCCATTGGTAACAAGCCCAGAGACAAACCCACGCACTTGAAAAAGGCAATTCTCCAAGCCAACTAGAGAGTTCTGAGGGTGCAACTCACATTTATACTTCCACCCTTCATAGCCAAAAGTCAAAGTTGATTCATAACTATTAAAAGATACTAAAAAACCACCCTATCCCTCCCTACTGCCAATTGTCTGGATCATCATGTTTATGAAGCACCATTCAATAGGTAAAACCAGACAGATTTTTGAATTGGCAAGAGCAAGAAACAAAACCACATCGTTTTCTTTCATATATTATTATTCAGGCTCTTACATAGAACACAATTCAACATGTTTCCAGTAAACTCAGTTTATAATTACACAAAATGTAGAACAATCAGCATAGTTCCAGTAAACTCCGTGATTTCTGAACAGTCACCTGATTTTATTCAAACACTGAAAAAAACAATGAATACATAGATACACACATGTAACAGGTTATTTAGGACGTTGCCGTGAATTTGTATGAGGCATAAGAAAGAGAATTAAGGCTCCAGCTATGGTGGATAAGTTCTGCCTTTGCCTTTTTGCCTGCAGCACCCATGGCAACGTGCAATGGGTAGAAGTGGTCAGGCCAAGGGTGTGCAACTTTTGCATGTGGTGCCTTCTCTGCATACTGATTCACATCTTCATACCTACAGGAAGGAATAAGAATCATGTCTAAAAGGAAGAAAAAAGTAAATAATCCTTGTGCCATCATAAAGAAAGATATTTATCACATCCTGTACTGTCTATCATAAAGAAAAATTTATGACTTCTTGTGGTGTATCATAGCGATCTGCAAAATGACGAAATAGCAAAACAAAAGGGGGGAAAAGTAAAGTAGAACTGTAGCAGCTTCCAAAAATTATTATACCATGCCTGGTATCCAAGCAAGATTACCCCACCTTTAGTGTTTCTCTGAACAAATAACTTTGCAAAGGGAGACTATTTAAAATTTGTACCCAGTGACCAAATAGAAATGAATGCAAAATCTTAACAGAAGGAAATATCACCATGAAATCTACACTGGGGAAAGGAATTAGGGAAGAGAGGAGAAGATAAGAAAGCAGAAGAGAGAAGAAAAATTGAGAAGCAATGAGATTCCTAACTAATCAATAATCAGCTTGTTTACAATCTATACATGTCCCCTTTTACAGTAACCGGGTTCAAACTCACCAGGTCAATGTATCGCAATATATTGATCATAGGTGAGATGAACAATCTAAATTGCTGTGCATGTAATTTACTTGCCTACACCATGTTCTTGCTAAACTTAATTTATTTGATAAATCACATCTTTATATTTTTAATTGGGAATAGAACCTTTATTGATGTAAAAAAGACCTATTCCCAAATGGTCCATCTGGGGTATATAGACATCGGTCTGTAATTCTACAGATCTTGCGGGGGCAATCAGCCGGCCACCTAAGTTCCACACTATGCCAACCTAGCATGAGTTCCATTGATCCACATATAATCTGCTTCAGATGCCAATCGAAACCAACTTCTCCAACTGAGGGCATTCTGGTAATATGACCCTTGGAACACTATAGAATTTTGTAGTAGTATCTTCCCTACTTAACAAGACAACCTATACAGGGAGTGGGTTGCTTTTTATTTTTATGAACAATTATTGAAACGACAAACTTATTCAATGGCATAACCTTATTCCTCCACTTTTATATGCATACAATGGCATAACCTTATTCCTCCACTTGTGTATGCATACAATGTGTTTCCAGCAAATGAGTTCCACTACATGAAAAATACCTGCCACTGAGGAGGGCTTCTCTAAGCCAGGTATCAAATTCTTCAGCCCACGAAGCAACAGAATTATCACTGGACTGACGGAGAGCTCTCAAGTTGTGAGTGGTAGCCCCCGAACCAACAATGAGGACACCTTCCTCCTTTAGCGGGGCCAATGCCCTCCCCAAGTTATAATGGTAAGTTGCATCCTTGTTTGTCTGAACAGAGAGCTGGCACACCGGAATATCAGCTTCTGGAAACATAAGCATGAGTGGGACCCATGCACCGTGGTCAAGACCACGCTTTTCATCCTCATTGACTTGCTCCAAGCCAGATGCCAAGAGCATTTCCTTCACCCTCTTTGCCAATTCTGGAGCTCCTGGTGCTTCATACTTAAGCTGTCATTAAAAAGAATAATGTCAAAAGTCTTTCCATATAACAACAATTATTCTTGTTGATAATATTTTGTTTCGTTGTCATAAGGAATTAGGTAACAACTCCTGTAGAGGCATTGTTTACATGTATGTAGGTGATACCCTCTAGCAATACTACAAAAGCATGTCTAGTCCCTCAACGAATAATAGAAAACAAAATTAATTTTGTCAGATAGTTCCATTTCAAGATTTTGGCCAACAAACCGTGAAATAAAAACAAGGATTATAACTTAGAATTTTAAAAGGAGTCTCATATGTAACAATAACAGCACACCTAGATGCATGATATGTGCAATTCCTTGTGCACAAGCACACAAAACCACTTGTGTAAGTACCTAAGAAAAAAATGTTGTCGACGAAAAAACTGACACCTTCTTGATGTTGCTCGTTCATTGTTGTTTACTATGATTGTTTCTCAGCATTTTTTGGGAGATGAAATTCTTATTACTGCTTATCTTATTAATCATCTACCTTCAAGTGTTCTTCAATTTAAGCCACCTATTGAGTATTTTTCTGTGATTTTGCCGGTTTCTTCCATTTTTTCTCTTCCTCCAAAAGTTTTTGTGTGTGTTTGTTTCACACGACTACAGATCATCTCAAGAGAATCTTGATCGTAAGGCTTTGCAGTTAATGGTGTGCAACTATCCGAAAATCCGGCTCTATCTCTGACTCCAGACCGAAGTCAGAGTCGGAGGAAAATAGTCGTAGTCGAAGTCGAAGTCTGCAGTCCATTCTAAAAAAACTGCGACTGCGACTCCAACTCTTATTAATTAATAATTTTATATAAATTATAAATTATAAATTACATAATATATTATTATAAATCTAAAATCCTAAGTCCAACCTACCAAAATATTTAAGCCCATATCTCTAACCCCAAGCCCAAAAGATTTAAGCTCCTATTGATAGGTATCGGACTATATTTCGTTATAGTAGACGTAGACGTAGGGATTAGGAGTTATTTGTCATTTTGCTTTTCAGGGGGTTAGTTGTCATTTTGAATATTTATTTCTTTTCGAGTTCTTTTAGGATTTGTGCTCTCCCTATATATATAGGAGATATAATATTTATATTGGTAGACTTTAATTATTGATTTTTAATATTGAATCCTGATATTACTTCTTCCTCAAATTCTCTCTCTATTCTTATCCTCTTCTTTTTTTCTCATCCCCTTCTTCTTTCCTTCTCATTCTAATTCTTTACTACTACAATCTACGTCAATTTGGTATCAGAGTTAATACGATCTACATTAATTTAGTATCAGAGCTAATACGATCTACATCACCTATCCCTCCCTCTTCTCTGTCACTTAGTGTCGACAGCTCCTCCATCTCCCCCCTCTCTCTCTCTATCTTAGTCAAGGACAATGTAACGAACAACCTAGCTCCTCCTGGCTCCATCTCTCCCCCTCTCCCTCTCAATCGACAATGGATCTCACTCCTAGGATGGCACGCAAATCCTCAAATCTCAAATCTCAAATCTCAAATCTCAAATCTCAATCATCTCCGACGATCTCTCATCTTCGACGAAGCTGTCTCTCTCTCTCTATATAAATATATATAGTAAAATTTTTGTACAGAAATCTAGTAATTTTTTTTTTTGGATTGTGTTAATTTTCAAAATTCTGTTGCTCCGACTCGGATTGGTAGAGGCGAAGACAAAGTCAGAGTCGGAGGGGAAAACTCATTCTGACTGAAGTCGAGTTAGAGGTTGGATTGGTGTCTTCCAATTCTGTCAAAGTCGGTGCCCACCTATATTTGCGGTGTATTTTTGTTGGTTATTCACCCACCTAAAAAGGGTATAAGTGCTACCATCCATAGCCTCATAAAATGTACGTTAGCATGGATATTATATTTCGTGAGTTTAAGCTCTTTTTTTCTCCTTCTCAACCATCTCTTCAAGGGGAAAACACTATTACTGAAGACAGTGGTATGTCAGGAACCCCCTCTTCAATTGCCTTTTTAGTGGAATACCAATAAGAGAGAGCAAATCAATGATCCATCTAATACTCTAAAGACTTATTCTTGGCATCAGAAGATACAAACCGCCCATATGCCGCTGAATCAGTTAGATTCCCTTACTACAGGTTTAGCATCTCCTATTGACTTACCAGGGAATGAGCTTCATGTTGTCACCCATCTTATTGATAATCCAATTGTTGATGATTTTGAATTTCCTATTGCAGTTAGAAAGAGCATTTAAACTTGTACTCAACACCCCCTCTATAACTTTGTCTCTTATGATTCCTTGTCTCCATCATATCATACATTTGTTTCCCAATTGTCTTCTATATCCATTCTTCAGGGTTGGAAGGAATCTCTCACTAATCCAAAGTTGAGAGAAGCTATAATAAAGAAAATAAGAGTCCTAAAAAAGAATGACCAATGGGAATTAATTCCACTTCCTATTGGGAAAAGGGCAACAGGGTGCAAATGGGTATTCACTGTCAAACAAGCTGATGGGATAGTTGAGAGAATTAAGGCAAGGCTGGTCACTAAAAGATTCACTTAGACGTATGGCATTGAACATCAAGCAACCTTTGCTCCGTGGAAAAGATGAACGACATACGTGCCCTTCTCTCCTGTGCAATTAATTTGGGGTGGAGTCTACAACAGTTAGATATGAAGAATGTCTTTCTCCATTGAGACTTGGAACAAGAGGTATATATGGAGATTCCACTCGTTTTTCATTTCAAGTAACTGAAAGAAAGGTGTGTAAGTTGAAAAAATCACTTTATGGTCAGTTTAACAGGTTTCTCAAAACCATGTTGAAATTTAAATATAAATATAGTCATGTTGATCATACTATGTTCATCAAATAGGTAGATGACAAGATAACGGTTCTCATTGAATATATGGATGATATAGTGATAACTGAGAATAATGTACACGAAATCACCAAATTGAAAGCTCAACTAGCTTAAGGAGTTTGAAATTAAGGACTTGATTGAGGTTGCCTTATCGGATAAAGACATTCTTATCTCCTAGAGAAAATATATTCTTGACTTACTCGAAGAAACAAATGGGGTGTAGACCCACAAACTCTCCTATTGAAGTCAACCATCGACTGGGTAATGGTGTTGTGAATAAGGGAGGTACTAGAGATTAGGAAGGAGGTTAATATCTTTCTTATACTTAGTCAGATATTGCTTATGGACTGAAGGTTGTAAGTCAATTTATGCATAACACTCAGACCCCTCATCTTGAAGTTATTTATCGTATTGTAAGGTATCTCAAGCCAGCTTCTGGGAAAGGAATCTTCTTCTTTAATAATAGTCCCTAGAAATTGAAAGCATTCACCAACGTAGACCGGACAGGTTCAATGAATAATAGAAGAGCTACTTTGGACTACTGCACCTTAATAGCAGGAAACATTATCATATGGCCAAGTAAAAATACACGCAGTGGTCGCAAGGTCTAGTGCAGCAAAGCAATGACCCATGGAGTTTGTGAACTTATGTGGCTCCAACTCCAAATTTTATTGGGTTAGCTCGGGATTCATGATTATGAGCCTATAAGACTATACTATGAGAATAAGGCAGCTATCAACATTACACACAATTCAGTTCAACATTGCATGTTAAAATTGATCAACAATTCATCAAAGAGAAGCTGAACAAGCATTTGATTTGCATGCTCTTTTTAAAATCAGAAAATCAGTTAGTCGATATTTTCACAAATAGGTTTAATAGCAACAAATTTGCATCCTATCATTTACAAGTTAGACATGAGAGATATCTATGGATAAACTTGAGGGGAGGTATTATGTTATATTAAGTTGTATTTCTAGTTTAAGGGTAATTTTCGTACTTTATGTTTATACATAAATTGGGATGTAGCTGGGTAACCTTAATATACTACTCTCTTTTGATAACTCTTTCTTCTCTCTTATTTTCTTTTCTTTTTCTCTGCAAACCCTATCGCTTTGATAATCTAACTTTGTCTTGATGGCATGCCAATTCTAGCGCTTTTCAAGTCCTTGAATTTGTATTTTTTTGAGCATCTTATAAATTTTATCAAACCCATTGTTGATTGAAGCAGTCATCAATTATAGGAAAGGACAACCCTAGCATACCACTAGACCACTTCACTTGCCTTCTCTCACACCATCCTTATGGGTTCTCTAGATCCCTTGCGAGTTGTGAAGATGTGGAAAGAGAGAAGGGATGGATTGCTTGTAAATGAAAGAGGGTATAGAATTAATGTACTCCACCCACATACCTTTCCTTCATGTTTTCTGCACAGATTCAAGAGGATAAAAAACAGTGGGTGAGATGGAACACTTTTCCATATGTTTTTCTTTCCTCTTTTTTTTTCCCCTTTTGTGACCACACACCGGAAAAACTCATTTGCCCTTCGATTTTCCATCCTCTTTTTCACCCATTCCTTTTTCCACCACACAAACCTAGTCATAAGTTAATCCTGTTTTCTCAAAATTATGCTCCATCAACTCCATCCACCACTACCAACCACTAAAATTTTGAAATTAATCACTGTCGTTACTGGAGAGAAATTAAACCGATGGTGACATATATTCAAGTAAAAAATGCATAAATAAACAAAACAAAAAGAGGACCGAAGCTAGTTGCCCCATGGCATAACCACCCCAGCCCCAAAACATAAGTACCTCAACCTCCCACTATCTCCAATCACGAGCACCACACCAGATCTGTGAGAGAGAGATATATAGATATGCAACAAAATTCTCAAATCTACTATAAATTGTTAATTAGAGCAAGAATTAACACCTTTTAATGAATTTCAAACAACGAGATAATAAGAAAAAGTAATAGAATCATAGACGAAACATGAATATATAAATTTCTAGGGCAAAAGACCCAAGAAAGATAGAAAATCAAGGTTTTTGGAAAAAGAATACTAGGGTTACAACAGCCCTAGCATCCTAGCCCTTGATAACCATAATAAACCTTTAATCCTAGTCCTCCAATATAATTGAAAACTCACATGACTTTTAAAAAGACTAGGACCATAAATACCATCTATAAGACTTACATAAAACATAAAATACTGCATAACATAAAAATAACTAAAATATCTACTAAATAGAGATTAAGCTAAGCCTATTAGTGGGCCCATTTGTTCTTGATAAGACTCTTGGATGCTTCCGCATCAGATAGAGAGAGATGGACATAGTGACGATGTCATTGTGGATGTTTACAAAATTGAGAGATCGTGTATGTTTTGTGTCTCAGTGAGAGTTTGAATTCTATATGTTGGAGTTGTAACCTACTTATTAGGATGTTTAGCTTTTTATCTAATTAGCCTTTAATATGGTTTTTATGTCTTACCCAGACTAGAGGGATGTTCTGGCCAGTTGCATTCTTATTTGACTATATATACTGGACTCTGCACTTAATTTGTGCATCTTTTTTACTTATAACAATTCTAGTTGATATCAAAGTCAACCAAACCCTAGCCGCCAAACCCAAGCCTTCCCTAACCCTAACCCTAACCGCCAAACCCTAACCTTCCCCACCAGCGTTGCCGCCTCTTCCCACCAACGCCGCCACCCTTTCCCGCCAGCACCACCACTCTTTCCTGCCAACACTGCCACTCTTTCTAACGCCATTGGTTTCTCTTTTTCCTAGGGTCAGAGCACTCTTAGGACTTTTAGATGGGTCAAATCCTCTCCGTTAATCTACTTTTGATGTAGTAAATCACCTATATATTTTTTTCTGGATTTCTTGACGCTGTGAGCTGTTATTTAGGAGCTTTTTGAACCTCTTCTTTGTTGCTATTAATCGACTGGCGGTATATTGTTCTCCCTTGTTTAACTCTATTTATTTTAGAATAATTTATGTCAGTGTTGCCACATTACTATTGTTGCTATGGCCACTAATGAGAGATTTGAGAGCTCTACCGTTGATACTTCCACTGAGAAGGTATCGGCCACTTTTACAGAGATTATCCCTTTCACCTTTATGTTTGACCAGTATACAATACCTATTGGCACAGTTGCATTACTGGCGATACTGGATATGGTCTATCAAAAGGTTATGACACAGTTATTGGATGGTCATAACTTTGTTAAATGGTCACACTCGTTTCAGCTCTTTTTGGGGTGTATTGGGAAGCTTGGGTAACCGGATCGCACCCGAAGCCAATTGATGACAACCCTGGATATTCTTCGTGGTTTCCCAAAAACTGTACTATTCTTTTATGGTTATTTGGATCTATGGTGCCATCTGTTTGTAGAATTCATTAGTTTCATAACTTTGTTTCGAAGTTATGAAGCACATTATCAAAGATGTATTCACAGTTAGGCCGTGGAGTTCGTGTTTATGAACTTTCTCAGGAGCACTGATATGCTC